TAAATTTTTGTCTGTGAAGGTCCTCAATAACCCATATTCTTAAGAAAAGTACAATAAAGACGTCGAATCAGTTTAACTAAACAAAAATATTATATTTTAATGAATTAATTTATTATTATTATTATTAATTATTCTTACAAAAAAATGGTATGCCGACTATTGAAACATGCTATACCGACAATTAGCAAGTGGTGCAAAAAGTCATTGTTTTAATAAAACTACAAATTTGCCTAACAATGACTTTTTGCACCACTTGCTAATTGTCGGTATAGCATGTTTCAATAGTCGGCATACCATTTTTTTGTAAGAATAATTAATAATAATAATAATAATAATAATAATAAATTAATTCATTAAAATATAATATTTTTGTTTAGTTAAACTGATTCGACGTCTTTATTGTACTTTTCTTAAGAATATGGGTTATTGAGGACCTTCACAGACAAAAATTTAATTTTTATTAGAATAAATCATCTTTTCTTAGCGAAATTTTACACAAAGATAGCTGACAATATATTTGAAGTAAAAAAAAAAAATAAATAAAAGTGCCGACTACTGGGACATGCCGAACTTAGGCAATTTAATAAAAAGTTATTAAAACTTTATTTATTATTGCAAAAACTATACAAAATTTCGAATCTGAATAAATTAACTTTGTAATAATTGAAAAGTTCCACTCAGAATGATGAGCGATTAAAAACGCGAAAATCCTAAAAGTGACGACTACTGGTACACTTACTCTATAAGTGCTTCGAAAAATCATTTACCCATAGAAGAGCTCCGAAAGATCCTCGACTTATAGAAGAGCTTTGGAAGAGGAGCTTTTCTGTCGATGAAGGCTCTCAGAGAGCATTAGAAGGCTCCCTAAATCTCGAAGAGCTTTTGACAGTTTATTACATATTTCTAAAAAATTAGATGAAGATGTACGGTATATAAAAAAAGCATCAGAAGGGGCTTTGTCTATAAAAGAGCTCAAAAGAAATTTCATAATAGATCTTTATATCTAAAACAAGTAAGCAAAGGCTACAGTCGAGCGGGGTCGACCGTTGAATACCCTACAACACTATAATAAACAATACAGTTTATATAGGCGAGATACTCGAAAGAATTGCACAAGATGTTGTGACAAATAATAAAAGAAAACCATCAAGTTTCGTTCTCTGATTTTCGAATAATAGCAACTTAAACTAATTTGCTAATTTCCAATTTATTGGTAGATGTTGCAAGTAAATGGTCTTCCTAGATCTGGAACCAATATTTCCCAAAGACCTATAATCTCTCAGAAGTGGCAAAAGATTAACATTCATTATTGGTTTTTGACTGAAACGCATCTGTATGAGATACAGACATTTGACTATATCCTTCAACGAAATCAGCGTTAACGAAATAGTCAGAAGTGCGTCTTTCCTGTATTTGTCAATTCTCCAAAATGTCACTGGAATGGACATTTTCGTATTTTGTCTACAAAGTTGGCAAACTCCTTTACAAATTGAATATTTTTGGATGGCCATCCAAAATTGCTTGGCTTTTGCAATGTCCGGTAACCCCCATAATTACGACCTGCTGACAATTTTGCAGTTTTTTGGTCCATTTCAACCCCTAAATATATGGCGATCATCTCCAAAAAGAGTAGGCTTCTATTCTGACCCTCATCTTATCCCCATGCCAAATTTCGTAAGAATCGGGCCATAAATGCGATCTGTATATGATATCCTGATATCCTAACTACTTAGTTTTGTTAGCTGTAGAAATATTACCAAATGTTTAATTCAAAATGAAAATATGCCAAAAATATGACAAAATTGAAAAAATATGAGAAAATGTTACAAAATCAATATTTTCATCTTTAGAGAGATATTTCTATGCGATTTTTTTAGACGTTTTTTGCTTCCTGCCAAGAGGCCATTCTGAATTAATGAGAACTGTCGAAATCAATTCAGCCGTTCTCGACATATATGAGATATTTCAAGCATATCTTCTTTGATAAACATATATATCGCACATATTTTGCTATATATCCGTTTTGTTGGATGTTAATATCAATGTAAAGATCAGAAGTAACCTTGTCATGGCCTTGTGATTTCGCCGGGATTTAAAATATTCGCGGTTTAATGAAAAATTTTGAATTTTTTCAACAAAAAATATATGGTCTATTTTACCCGCTAAATATTATCCGATGACCACCCAAATTGGTAGGCTTCTTCCCCGCCCTAAACTCTAGCTACATGCGAAATTCCGCGTCGATTGGTCTATAATTGCGACCTGTATAGCTACTGCAAAATCCGACAGTTTTTCAGTATTTGGTCCATTTCAACCCCTAAACATTTGACGATCATCTCCAAAAGAAATAGGGTTCTATTCTGACCCTAACCCCAATTTCCCCCCCTAAATTTCGTTAGGATCGGGCCATAATTGCGACCTGTAGAGTGATTACAAATTAACATGGACAGACGGACAGACGGACGGACGGACATACATAGCTAGATCGACTCAGCTCGGCGAGCTAGGAAGATCCATATATACTTTCCTATATGGGAAACCAATATTTCGAGGTGTTACATAATTTATGGCCCAATCAAACTTATAATACCCCCAACACATAGTGTTGTAGGGTATAAAGAGCCTCAAGGATTATATTAAATACCGAAGGCCTTTTTTACGATTTCATGCCCTTAGACAAGCTTTGGAAGATCATCTGTCCCTGGAAGAATTTAAGAAGCTCTTCCGTTCATAAAATAACTTTAGAAGGTGTTCAAGGTATTCATAGCAAAGCTTCTGAAAGTCTTTTTCAATTCTCTATCCACAAAAAGAACGGCAGAAGATCTCATTTTTCTTTTAAAGTTCGCGTGTTGAGATTAGTTAATCCGGTATTTATTACAATTCAACTATCTCGTAGTGACCAATGTGAAAGAGAGAGATATAGAGAGACTCCCTCGAGAGAAATATGAACAAAGGCAAAGCTGAGTAAGAAGGTATTCCAAGACAAGCGGCCATTTTCTTAAACAACTAACTAATCGATGGCTATCTATTTTAATGGGATTTAATTCTTTATAAATTACTGAAATAACAAAAATAACAAATTGTAAAATATAATAAAAATACAATTTTAATTTTCTCTTAAACAATATCTTTACATTATTTTGCTTAGCTCTGAACTAAGTACATCTTCACATTTTTCTCTTAAGCCACATTACAGGTATTACACAACAGTCATAGACTTCCCGGAATCCATTGTTTCAATTTGAATTCCCCCGAATGGAAATGAAGATTTACTGAACACGCTGGCAGGCACGATTGTCTCAAATTCATGGCATACCAGGGCGGCATTCCATGGAAGAAGAAATAAAAATCACGTTTGTCAAACCAACAATAAAAACAATAAAAATCCCCCAATAAAATGACAGGCAACACCCTTGGTTGGCGGTAAACTAGACAGTTGGACACTTCAACATTCAGCGACTGCTGTTTAGCTAGGATGGATTACTGCGCTTTAACGTCACCGGGGCGGATCATCAACGTCAACATGACCATCATCATAATCATCAGCCATCCCTGCTTCAAGTGGATACGAGAGCAGTCATTTCTTTGCAACCGCATTTCGTCATTGTCAACAGTGTTTCAGTTAATAATACTTCGCTTTGGTGGTTAGCTGTGGCGGATTGACAACTGTCATCTTTAAGAATACGTAAAAAAGTCACTTTGATAGATGCAGAGAAGAGATGATAAGATGGATAGGAGATTTGTTAAGCCGCTTTTTTTTTGTTATGAATGAGAAACAGATGTAAAGTAAATGGAAGCAAAGCATGGAAATTTAGCTATTTCAAATGGCGGAAAATCCAATGGACAAATTTTGCCTTTGAAAAAACCTACAAGTTGTCATTATAGAAAACTAGAAGGTCTATTCCAAAATTGACGATGAAAAAATAGAAAATTTTCAAATCGATGCTCAGAAATATTAAATGATCCATATGTCTTTTTTAGAAGACAAAAACAAAACAGTAAGGAAAAGTCAAAAGTCAGGCGGGGTCGTCTCTATGATAGGCATATTTAGTAGAGCTCCCGTAACAAAAGATTTATTTTGAAGTAGATCATACTACCTATCAACCTTTGGCTTTAGAGCAGTTATAATTTGGTTTTAGGGGGAAATAATATATCCAATTCTGAATCGAATATCTTTTGTACCAAAAAACAATGCTATAGAGTGCATGATATCACTTCGAGAAGGATTTTGTTAAAAAATATATATCGAGCCGAGTTCCACCAAATGGAAACGTACGTCCCGAAATTCACTCCATTTGGACTGATATTAGCAATAAACCTGAAACCGGATTAAGGGAGCTATATCTAAATCTTAGCCGATCTCGATAAAATTTGGCAAGTGTATTTCCGAGCTCTATAAGATATCTGGTGCCAAATATCATAGTTGTAAAATGCATATTACGAAGAGACTTAAACACATAATCGGATGAAACATATATTTGGGAGCTATAGCTATATCTGAACCGATTTTCTCCAAGTTTAATGTACTTGCTTCTGGACGGAATTCGATTGGATGTACCAAAATCCAGGTCATTTTGAATTGATATTGGCCATTTGGTGTACAATTAACCCGAAATCAGTTAAAGATATACAGGGTGAGATAAAAAACTGAAACAAAGTCAAACGCCATATTTTTTAAATTTTTTTAAATTTTATTGAATGAAAGCAAAATATGTCGGAAATAGCATCAAATTTTAGAAAAAGTTCAGATTTGTTCCAATTGGTCACCTTTGACACGAATTATGGCCTTCAAACGGCCAATGAAACCGTCACACGCTGCCCGAATGTTGCTATGCGGTATGTTGGCCCATTCCCGGCAAAGCGCTTGCTTGAGGCGATCGACACTTTGGTATTTTTTAGTACCGTTGCTTTCCAAAATACTCCAGACACAATAGTCCAATGGATTGGTATCCGGAGATTTTGGTGGTTCTTGTGCGCTGAAAATGAAGCGAGGAACCTCATTTTGCAACCATTCTTGGGTGGCGCGAGTTACGTATAATCATACTACCCCTGATAAAATTGATAAGTTCTTGGAAACAATTAGCCAATAAAACGTGTACAATTATTGCACTGTAAGCATAAGTGAATTTGACATTCTTTAGTTTGACTTTATTTTATTTTTCCAGTTAAAACTGTCTGGAGCTGAGTATACAATTATTTACAAAAGTGTGTTAATCAAATTTCATTTAAAATAAACTTATGCTAACACTGCAATAATTAATTAACAAATAATACCTGTAGAATAAGTAAATTAAAAATGTAAAAGTTAGTCTTAGTTCCATCCTCTTAGTCGCAAGTCGACGAATAAATAAATAAAAGAAAGAAAAAAAAAAAGAAAACAATTTTTTTTTTTAATAAACATAATTAATCAGGTTATCTAATTGGCGCAGTCGGTAGGATCCTTTAGGAATTAAAAAGGATCCAGTGAAACGTACCTAAATTATAAATAATTAAATAAATTCTGCGAATCCTACGGGACCCTCCAGGATTATAAAATAAACAATAGTGCAGTGAATAATTCAAAAAATTAAACACCACTAAAATAAACAATAGTGCAGTGAATAATTCAAAAAAATTGAACACCACTAAAATAAACAATAGTGCAGTGAATAATTCAAAAAATTGAACACCACTAAAATAAACAATAGTGCAGTGAACATTTAAGTTAAGTGGACACCACTAGATAAAGGAAGTCAATCCTTTTTTTTTTTTCTTTTAAAAGTGTATTCGCAAAGGCAAAAAGTCTTCGACAAACGAAGAAGAATGGAGGAACAAGCTCACATCGCATCCGTAAATGTGGCAGAAGAACTAGCCAGAAAGGATCAACAATTGGAACGGTTACGCCAAGCATATCTAGAATTGCAACAGCAAACACAAGAACTACAACAACAACAGCGTAACCCGGTGTTATATGATACACAATCAAATAATGCAAAAGACAACATTTTAAAAACGATAAATCATCTACCCATTTTCACCGGCACCGGAGAAGTAACGGTGAACAGCTTTTTTAGTAGCACTGAATACTTGCTGTCAACTATACAAGATGAAAATATTAAGAAGGAGGCCATAAGAACAATATTCTATAAAATAATCCAGGGACAAGCTAAAGACGTCATAATAAACATACCCACACCGGACAACTGGCAACTAATCAAAGAGACTTTAAAACTAAGGTATAGACCGAACGTGGAACCACACAATATATATAGGATGATAGCCAACTTAAAAGTAAATTCGGTAAGTGAATTAATAATAGAGTTGCAGAATCTAAAATATAAGGCAGATGAGTTAATAGTTTATTACCGAAATGACCACTATATTGACTTATCAAACGTGGACAGTCTTTTAGTAAATACAGTTAAGGAAATGACACAAGGTACACTGTTAGACAAAATTTACGAAGAAAGAAACATTAATGATATATTAAAAATATTGACAAGAAGGAGATTTGAAGACACATGCATTAGGCCAGAATATAGGAAGTTTAGGACTAAAGACGACGTAACATTTAGACAAAATCGGTCGCAAAATAGGAATAATTTTAATCCGCAGATTAACAGTAATAACCAGGGATATAATCAACGGAATTGGTTAGGACAAAATAATTTTAGGTCGGATATTAGACAAGAACGAAATAATAATGATAATAATAAAACCTATAATAATAATAATAACGATAACTATAATAGGAATAGAAACTTTAATCATTCAGGACAGTATAGAGTCCAACAAAATAACAGTTATAATAATAACTATAATAATAGGAATCAAAATGGAAATTTTAATCATTCAGGACAGTATAGAGTCCAACAAAGTAACTATAATAATATGTCGGGAAATTTCAGAAGGTTTCAGCAACAGGTAGGAAACCCTAGGCCAAATTTCAGCCAAAATCGCTTGAATCAACCTAGGCAAGACCAGCAGGAACCTATGGAAATAGACAATATAGAAGTAGATAATTATCGAGTAGTAGGAAACTCTGAACCAAATTTACATCAGGATAACGGACAAGACCAAAGACAAAATAATTTTTTTCGGAAACAACCTCCGATTGTTTACCTACCATAACCATTACGATTAATAAAAGGAAATATAAAGCTTTGATTGATACAGGCGCAAACTTAAGCCTGATTGACAGTAAGGTAAAAGATTTTGAACGAGTTTTACTAAAACAACCTATAGAATTTAGCACCATAACTAGGAAGGACATAATTAAATTTGAAGTTATAACTGACGCACCTATGGAATTTAACTTACCAAATTATACAAAAATTAAGTGGAAAATGCAAGAGTTAAAAGGAAGAAAGTACAATTTTATTATAGGAGTTGATTTACTAAACCATTTTAACACGATGATAAATTTAATAGACGGACACATAACATTTAATAACAAGATTACAAAATTTTTAATTAATCCATATAAGGATTTGGAAATATGTTCATTGGAAAAACTGGAAGTTGACTTGGACAGAATTCAGTTGAATCATTTAAATGCAGAGGAGCATTTAGAAGTTACGAGAATTTTAAGAAGATTCGACAAAATATTTTTTAAAGAAGGGGACCAATTGACAAGTACAATGACAATAAAACATGAAATAAGAACGACAACAAATGAACAGATAAATTCCAAATTATACAGATATCCGCCACAACATGAAGAAGAAGTACGACGACAGATCAGGGAAATGGAGGAACAGGGCATAATTAGGAAAAGTTGTTCAAGATATTCAAGCCCATTAATAGTAGTACCCAAGAAAATAGATAATTCTGGAGAGCGTAAATATAGATTAGTGGTAGATTATAGGAAGCTTAATGAAGTGACGATCGATGATAAATATCCACTACCGAACATAGATTCAATTTTAGATAAACTAGGACGAGCACAATATTTTACTACCTTGGATCTAGCCAAGGGATACCATCAAATTCTAATAAGAGAACAGGACAGAGAGAAAACAGCTTTTGTGACACCTCACGGATTATATGAATTCATAAGAATGCCGTTTGGGTTAAAAAATGCCCCAGCGACATTCCAACGATTAATGAATGAAACACTAAGAGATTTCATTAATAAAACATGTGTAGTTTATCTGGACGATATACTTATTTTTAGTACTTCTCTTAAGGAACACGTTAAAGCCATAACGGACATTTTCACGGTATTGGAACGGGCAAATTTAAAAATACAAATCGACAAATGTAATTTCATGAAAAGAGAGACAGAATTTTTGGGGCATATTCTGACAAAGGAAGGACTAAAACCAAACCCCAATAAAATTAAGGTTATTCAAGAATTAGATTTACCTAAAACAGAAAAACAAATCAAAAGTTTCCTGGGGTTAACGGGATATTATAGAAAATTTGTGAGAGATTATGCTAAAGTCGCACAGCCAATAACAAAATACTTAAAGAAAGGTGTAAAATAAATTTAAGGGACCCTACATACATAGAAGCTTTTGAAAAATTAAAATCTTTAATTAGCTCTCATCCAATTTTAAGATACCCAAATTATGAAAGACAATTTACATTAACTACAGATGCGTCGAATTACGCAATCGGTGCTGTCCTGTCACAGGAGGGACATCCAATTTGTTTTGCATCAAGAACGCTTAACAATCACGAAAGAAATTATTCGGCAACGGACAAAGAATTTCTAGCAATATTATGGAGCGTTAATTATTTGAGACCATACCTCTATGGTCGAAAATTTAAAATACTTACGGATCACCAACCCATCAGATTTTTACACACAAAATATAGAGGGAAAGACATGTCACCCAGGCACCAGCGATGGTTTTTGAAATTAGGAGAATACGATTTTAATATAGAATACATAAAAGGCAAGGAAAACAAGGTGGCAGATTTTCTAAGTAGAATTGAGAAAGATAATGAAGATGATACCATTTCAGATAAGGTACAAAATTCGGAGAATAATTCAGAATTGAGAATAATAAATAATATTGAGGATGATGATGATGTATCAATGATTACAATTCATTCAGCTGATGAAAATTTACAAGATCATTTCTTTATAAAAGAAGAAATAGTGAATAAGTACAGGACACAGATTATACTTACAAATGATAAAGTTCAGGAAATAAAACATTTACATAATAAAAGGATAATTTTCATAGCGGAAAGTGATTTTCACGAAATGGGGGAAATATTTAGAAAGTATATTACCAAAGGAAAAATAGGTATATTTTCGGAAGTATCGGAGAGAAGCTATAATACTGTTCAGGAAAAACTAATAGAAATGTACTCTAATGAGAAACAAGTGGAATTTATTAAATGCACTATCAGGGCTCAAGATATAGAAACAGAAGTGGAGGCGGTGAAACAGATATCATTATATCATGTAAAAGAAAGTATGCACTCGGGCATACAGGAAACCTATAACCAAATAAAAAATAAAATTTATTACCCAAGATTAATGGAACTAATTCAATTAGTTATAAATCAATGTGAAGTTTGTCAGGAGATAAAATATGATAGAAATCCAATTAAATTGAAATTCTCATACACAGAAACACCGTCGACGAAAAACGAAATAATACATATTGACACATATGTGATTAAAAGATTTCATTTTTTGACAATAATTGATAAATTTTCTAAATTCGGTGCAGCGTATCCATTGAATGATAGAAATCATTTAACAATAATGGAGCAATTAGATGATCATTTTACAAAGGTAGGGAAGCCAAGGAAAATAATAGCCGATAATGAATTTAAAACCACTAGATTAAAGGAATTCTTAGACAATGAAAATATAGAATTGCATCTGACCAAACCTAATAGTCACACGGGAAACGCCGACATAGAACGATTTCACAACACAATTGCGGAAAAGTTTAGGATAATGTATAAAGCAAATAAGGAAATACCGGTGAAACAATTAATTCAGAGATCAATTAGAAATTACAACGAACGATATCACTCAACTATTAAATGTACTCCTAAAGAGGTTCAACAAGGAAAAATGAATGAAAATAAAGTTAGAAAGTATTTAGAGGACAGTAAAAGAAAAATAATAGATAAAATAAATAACTCTAGAGAAGATTATAAGGAAAATAGAAAAGAAGGGTTTATAAAAAATTATAAGGCCGTCCGACATAAGGAACAACCGAAATATAAAAAGACAAAACTGGAGCGAATACATCCGTGCAATATTAAAAGACCTTTGAAATTTGCAGATTTGGACAATACTGACGATACTAATATGGATACCACAGACTAGAGGGATAATTACTACAAAATTTCTGACAGAACAAAGAGGATATATGGACATTTGCATGGGAAATCAGAAAATTGTTAATGAATCGGACATAATTTTACATATAATCAATCTTCACGAAATTGAAACAATTTTAGATGACATAACAGATAACATTATTCTAATGAAAATCGAAAACAAAGAATTACTTGAGTTAGAACTATTAGATGCCAGAAATAAATTAATGACGTTGATACCCAAACAAAATAGAAAAAGACGTGGACTAATTAACGGTATAGGAAGTATGACCAAATGGTTATTTGGGACGATGGACGATGAAGACAGACGGAACATACAAGAACATCTTCTTAATATTAATGAAATTAAGGAAAATAATAATCAACAGATTGTAATTAATGATTATTTCAATATAACTTTAAGTCATTTAAAGATGGTAATTAAGAATGATAGAAAGAAAATAGAACAAGAATTAAACTCTATAAACAAATTTTTAGAGGAAGAAAATAATAAAAGTTTATACTTAGAACAATTGACTAATATACAATTAATTAAGAATAAGATAGAGCATTTGCAAGACAACGTAATTTCTGCAAAATACGGGATTGTACACCCAAGTATTTTAACAAGTAGAGAAATAAGAAAATATGAAATAGATTATAACAAACTTAAATATATTCAGTTTGGAACAACATTTCTTAACAACTCTTATCTTGTGTTTGGAATAAAAATACCTAAACAATTTATAACAGTAAAATTAAGATTTATTGTACCAATACCAGATAAGGAAAATAATGAAATAGAATCTAATATGGAAAGATTTTTTGAATTCCAAAATAAAACTTATAAATTTGAAGAGAATAAACATTTAAAAGATTTAAAGTTAAGTCATCATTGTTTAATAAAGAATAATTGTCAATTGATAAAAAATAAAGACTTTGAAATTATACAGTTAGATATAGACACAATTATAATTAAAAATGCAATAAACACGACTGTAAATCAAACTTGTAACTTTGAAAAAATTTTGTTAAATGGAAATTATTTAATTAATTTTAATAATTGTTCAGTTAGGATAAAAGATTATTATTTTTCAAATATTGCAGAAATTACAAAAGAAAGACAAATAATTGAAAATACAAACAAAACTCAAAATTTTAAACATAAGATATCGTTCGAACAAATTGAAAAAGAACATCAATACAATGTAAGAAATATCGGAAAATTAAAATACCACACTAAAATAACATATGTATGTAATATTTCTATAGTAATTGTAATAATTATTTTAATTTTCATAATCATAACAAAACATAAATATATAACTGTAAAATTAAATAAAAGAATTCAGGAGAATTCTAGTCTAAAGGGGGGAGTAGTTACGTATAATCATACTACCCCTGATAAAATTGATAAGTTCTTGGAAACAATTAGCCAATAAAACGTGTACAATTATTGCACTGTAAGCATAAGTGAATTTGACATTCTTTAGTTTGACTTTATTTTATTTTTCCAGTTAAAACTGTCTGGAGCTGAGTATACAATTATTTACAAAAGTGTGTTAATCAAATTTCATTTAAAATAAACTTATGCTAACACTGCAATAATTAATTAACAAATAATACCTGTAGAATAAGTAAATTAAAAATGTAAAAGTTAGTCTTAGTTCCATCCTCTTAGTCGCAAGTCGACGAATAAATAAATAAAAGAAAGAAAAAAAAAAAAGAAAACAATTTTTTTTTTTTAATAAACATAATTAATCAGGTTATCTAATTCGCGTGCTATGTGCAATGGTCCTGGAGTATGGAGTCCTGGTGGAATGTCAACGTCTGCGGCCAAAATGTTTGCGTGCCCAAGGCTTTA